AACTGGGATTCAGATTACAATCTCCCCCCTTACACAAGTCGTCTAAAGCTCATAAATTTGCCTACACTCGCAAGTCGTAGAGAAATGCTGGGTATAATATTTATCGTAAAATTAATGACAGGCTCGATTAATAGCCAGCCCTCCTGGCTGAGGTAAATTTTAATGTTCGAGTGTCAAGACACTTTCGACCTCTATTTTTAAAGCCATGCAAAACTAATTTTGAACTAAACGAATCATTCCGTGGTTTATGTCAAGATTTTAACTGTCATTCCAGCACGTTTGACGTATCGGACTCGTTTTTACTATAAAGAAAACTATTATTTCCACTCTCAATAATTGAAATACTATCTTTAGCATATCCAATCAGCTGATGAATTTGATTCTGTAGCTGAATAGTTTTAGATCTCGACACTTAACAAACTCCTGTTTCCACTACTCGGCACCAAAAAACTAAAAAAAAAGGTTCCGTACGTCATGCGGACTGCGCCCCTCGTGTCGGTTGGGCGGGAATGGAGGGTAAAAGTCGTTGGGATTAATTAATTAAACGAATGGAAATCTTTGTGTATACATATATTGCTTTAACGTTTGAAAGCAGTTGTGTTTAGATTGATCAATTTTTTTGGACCATTGTGCAATAGCTCCGTTTCGTATTGCTATAATAACAGAGCTCGCCTTATAGTTGTAAATTTAAAAAAATGTATACTCTAAATAATTAATAATATAAGGATGTGATGGCCTCGCCTGTCGCATACGACTTATGTATGTAGTCCATTGGCGAATATATCGGTGGATTGAATACATTTTCTAATGTAGAGTGGACGCTGTCTACCTCCACACTTTTTACCTTTGTTAATTGTCGGATTCCAATTGCAAGCGATCAAATTAAATAGTAGAATCTATGTAGTGTAAGTGGTATGTGCATAGATATGGATGTATGTATTTAGTTGGTTTATAATTATTTTTTATATCGAAATCAAAGCACACTCATCACATTCGCCTGCGATCAACAGTTATAAGCAAGTAAGCGTATACTCTTTTTTTTCAGAGTATTTCTAGCACTCCGGGCACATAGCTGTTTTTGGTCAGTTCTAAACCAAAAGATATATAAGAGAACGGCAAATGCAGTAATGTGGGCAATAGATAGTGTTAATAAAATATGCAATACAAAAAATTGACAAAAATCACATAACCGTTTTTGTTGGCGCAGCGACGATATGTTCGTTTTGTATTAATTTTGAGCTTTGAGAAAACAGCTTACAGATTTTGTTGACAGGGCCCTAGCGCCAGGTGTATCTATATTGTAAATGCTGAATCAATCGACAGTAACTATCCATCACTAAACGAAACCTAATCTGAAGACATTGCCTACGGGAAACTCTTGCACTTTTTTGACGTCAGAATATGTCAGTGGTAGAAAATGTCATATTTAAAACAAAAAAAAAAAAACAGAAAAAAGTTGTTTTAAATCAGCGTTCTATTTTTAGTTTAAGTATCTAAAAAATTGCTCAACCTAAATTTACATACCTGTAATCCAAATAGTGTTTAATATTTTTATTTCTGAGAAGCACTGGTGTGGGTTCAAATATGCATATTTTATTTTCGTAAGATGCTGCAATTTTTCCAGTATCGGTACTACAATCGAGCGCAGAAATTTTGACGTAACCATGTGTTGCTCCTGGAATTATTTGCACTCGTTCGAAAGTGCTAGCTAGAATTACAATATTGCACCCGGCGGCGTATGCCTGAAAATATAGTTATATTTGAAATGTAGGTAAGTGTTGTGTAAATCAATTATAGTTTTAAGTACTTTATAACACAACCCTGTAAATGAATATGTAACTAGCAAGAACATGAAATAAAACAGTCGTCAGCCAGAAGTCAAACGTGCATGATACAAAAAAGAAGGTAGTTTCAATAAACAACTTTTTGATTAAAAATCAGATTTTTGACAATTGCTCAATTGTGAAAAATTCGGAGCGGCGTTACCCAATTGTAAGTGTGTGGAAGATTTTATATCCTAAATTTGGGATTATAAAGAAAATAGTTGTATTAATATTTACCTTTTAAAAATAATTAATATCTTATCTTAAAAACGTTTAAATTTTACATTAAATTTGATAACAACTTGCCAAATCATTATTTTAATATTAATACAACTTCAGTGAACATATTTTAAAAGTTTTTGAGTGTCCTCATGTCATCTGAATATTTCACATTGTAGTTTTCTATATCGGATACGACGATTCTGATATAATTCAGACACTAAAATTACACATTTCGATGTGTTATTTAATACATATTGTCTTTGTCCATTTAATAGCAAATGGAATTTACTTAGGGACCCATGGGCCGTGAAATTTTTCCAGCAACACATATTGTTTTCACATGAAATTTTGACACACCCAAAAGCGAAGTATAAAATAAATAGATAAAAACAAATTTTCGATCAAACTGATTTGATTTCGCTTGAGGAGTGACAATGCCCATACCGGCTGTACCGATTTTTTTGAAATTTCGGACACAAATTTTCCAAGAATGGATATAGGCTAAAACAAAACCGATATCTAAACGGGGTGTGGAACCTCCCATACAAACCGACGTTTTCATAGTGCATATCCCTGGAAGTATTTGTGGTAGAGTCCTGGAACTTGGTGTGGATATATGTATATGAAGTCAATCTCAAGCTCATGAAATAAGGGTTTATTGGAAAATGCGGCGTGGCACCGCAGAACTTGGAATAGAGGTAAATGAAATCAATCCCAAGCCTATGAAAAATGGGGGTATATGTAAATGATCTCGTAGCCATTGAAAAGAGTTAGTGGTATAAGCCACATAAACTAAAATTCTGGTGAGGCATAGATACCTCTGGAAGCATTTACCTAGAATACCGAGATGAGGTATTTTTCCAATGGAAATATGTACAGAAAAATGAGCCCGACACCTTCTGGAAAGTAACATGATCACAGGATGTATCCCTAGAACCATTTTAAGCTAAACCTTGAGGGATTACATTCTTTCCAAGACCCACAGGCATAAGCTGAAATTGCGTCGCAAGTTTTACGATCGGCTTGGGTAAGGTTTAACCACTTAGCCCCCCTTTGTTTTCGCCTACTGAATTCTATAAACTGTCAGCTTTCACACAATTTAAAATGTACATGTGTATTTAAAAATGTTATAAAAATTGTGTTGCTAGCTTCATGTTGCAAAAATGTTGCAAGCTTTTTCACAGCGTGAACAGAATACTACTTTGCTGAGGAAATGTTGTGGAATTTCACACTTATTTTACAGAAAGAAATTTTATATGCAATTTAACAGCTTTTTAACGTGAAACAGGAACAAAATACTATGCTTAAGAACAAAATATTTTTAAATCGAAAAAAAAAATTAATAAGAAAATTTTAAGGATTTTAGATACTGGGTATGGTAGCACGAAATGTCACAATCTGCTTAATTGTCAGGTTGTTAATATGGCGACGAAAAAGTGACAATGGAACTGCCTTGTTATTTATATCATGCAAAAGTGTAACATGGTGTCAGATCAGACGTCAAACAATATGGAGAAACAATTTATTTCAATGGCAGCAAATTTGCGACCATTGAACACAAAAGCCAACAACCTATCGCAAGAGTGGAAAAATTGGAGTAACCAATTCAAAGTGTTTCTCCTGGCGTCCAATTTAGAAGAACAGTGGGATAGACGCAAAGTGGCGATATTACTGCACCACATTGGCGCAGGGGCCTTCGAAAAAAATGATTTGTGGAAAAAGTTTAACGAGTACTTTGTTCCCAAGACTAATCTTGCAATGGAGCGTCACAATTTTTTTATTAGACGAAAAGCGCCCGACGAAACAATAAGTCAATATGCAACTGCTTTACAAAACTTGAGTGCGACTTGTGAATTTGGTAACCTGCGGGAAGACCTCGTTAAAGACATTTTTATTTGCGGATTGTCGCCAAAGTTCAAAAATATCAAGGAGCGCCTTTTAAGCGAAGCATTCGAAATTTGCCAGAAGCATTGGAATGGCGAGGGAGAACGCAGCAGCAACGCAAACAACACCAACAACATCTGACGAGATGATAGCAGCGATAAAAAGTCGAGGCAAAGAAGTCAAAAGAACAACGGAGCCGTTCCAACAGCAGAAGAAGCAGACATCAGGCGATCGATGCAAAAAATGTGGTCAGATACATCGTGTCAAGTGCCCGGCCGAAGGTGCTATATGTCGCATATACAAAAAACCGAATCACTTCGCTAAAATGTGCTTACAACCAACAAGAAACAGACGGAGCAAAGAAGTAAGAAAAATTTGTAAAAAATATCAACGAGGAACGGACTGGGACTGAAGAAGATGAACTCTACAACGATTTGTTTGTCGGCCTGCTTCAGGAAACAAAGCCAAAAGAGACTATGAAAGAATGGAACGTCGATGTGGATATGAATGGATGCAAAGTCAACTGTCAAATGGATACGGGCGCGCAGGCGAATCTGATGTCGGTAAAAATGCTTAAAAAACTAGACGTATGTAAGATTAATAATAAGGTATTGAACAATATTGTTGCGTTCAGTGGTGAAAAGCTTCCAGTAGTAGGGTGCGCTTATCTCAAAGTGCGATTTGACGGTGCTACATATTTTGCAAAATTTTATATTTTAAATATGGATTGTAAAAGTGTTATGGGTTTGGATTTGACGGTAAAAATGAATTTGGTGCAAATAGTGAAGTCGATAAAATACAAAGATATTTTAGAAAAAGACGTTGGGGTATTCAACGGTCTAGGTCAATTGCAAAACATATGTAATTTGCATTTAAAAGAAAGTAGTCAGCCAGTCGTAGATCCGCCGTGACGTATACCTTTTGGTTTGTTAGAGCCTTTGAGAAAAGAACTTGATCGTATGAAAAGTTTAAACGTTATTGCTGAGGTGCGAGAACCAACAGAGTGGGTGAACTCCGTAGCATTGGTCACAAAAGCCGACGGGACTCTAAGGCTTTGCTTAGATCCGCGAAATCTTAACAAAGTCATAATTCGGCCACGATTTTCATTTCCGAACTAATATGAGCGTAAATCTCAAATGAGCGGATCAAAATTGTTCAGCAGTTTAGAAGCGAATTCGGGATTCTGGGTGATTCCCTTAGATGAGGAATCATCTAAGCTTTGTACTTTCGCAACTCCTTTTGGCCGCTAAAAATTTTTACGTTTGCCATCCGGAATAAACTTCGCGCCAGAAATTTTCCACGCAGAGATGACACGTCTTTTTGGTGATATAAAGGGTCGGGTCTTGTTATATACATGGACGATTTTCTTATTCATGCGCCAAGTATACAACAACATAATATAATTCTATCCAAAGTCTTAAATAGAGCTGAAAAAGTGGGTCTCAAAGCATAGACAGACGGCAACGTTGATCCGGATTAACACCGCAATTGCTCTGATCAAAATTGTACAGTAGGATATTTATTTAATTTTTTTTATTGATTCAATTATAACTTCTATATTTTTTTAAGTTGTTTTTAGTTAGTTGTTTTTGACTTTTTTAGTAAAATTAAACTCTAAAAATTTAAATTAACTAATAATAAAATAAAAAATGTGAAATAAAATAAAACAAACGAAAATAAAATAAAAAACAATTAAATATATAAGTCAAATTTAGAAAAATGAAAGAAATAATAAAAACAAAATTTGTTTGGCATTGGCTCCAACCGAGGATCGAACCTGGGAACTAAAGGCTTGTAGTACGCAGATCTCACCACTCGGCTACCGCGGATGAAGGAATCGGTTGCTTTATTTGCTCAGTTAGCGTAGAACGCAAAGAAACTGCAAACTAGCATAGACATCCACCCTGTCGTCGGTAATGCAGTCACCGAAATAAGTTGTTATTCATTTTAAATTGGATTCCTATTTGAATTAGTATTAGTGACTGCATTACCGATTAAAAGATATATGTCCATGCTAATTTTACATTTTCCCTGTATACTACGCTCTCTGAGTTTTGGTCAGTGCTGTCATCGAAAATTCCAATGATGCGAGTTAAGTTTGGGAATTAACTCTAGGACTTAATCCGGATCAA